TATATATATATAGCGGTTAGGAAAAAATAATGAATCTTGACTATTTGTGTAAAGATCTCTGTATTTGTACTTTTATTGTAGAAATGTAGAAGAATGAACTACGTTTGATGATATTAAAATGTTAACTCCTTTGCAGATAGTGAACTTAATCATATAAATTCATTGAGGACATTTAGAACATAGAATTACTTTCTTTCATGGCTTCTTTTAATGTTTTTGAACTGGAGCACCCTAGAAATACTTGCACCGATCTCAAATGAGTGTTCACCAATAATAGCATTATAGGTGATTTATAGAAGATAAATAATGGCAAAATAAAAAGGAAAAAGTAATAGGGATACGTCTTTAAGATTAATTCGAAATACTTTCACTACCAGAACTATTTGTATATATCGATACCTTGCTCTTCTTATCATGTTATTTGAGTTAATTTAGCTAGATCATTGGTTCCATACTTTTGTGATTTTCTTTTTCTAGATTATTCTTTAAATAAACATGTCAAAGCTGCTTAAGACTCTTCCCTGTTTTATGGCTAGCTTCAATAACTCCTGAATCATATAAAGTTTGTGAAAATCTTCCAAAACGTGTAGTTTACTATTTGATAAAAGTTTAGTTTTTCTATTCTCGAGTACTTCACTACTTCATACAATGTGAATTTGTGACAACATGATTTTCCTTGTAGGGTTTGTGACAGCATGTGTTTCCTTCAGGAGTGTCGTCCGAGTTCCCCAGTGTTTATGAGGAAGTGTTTGGTCCAGATTGTTAGGGATATAGTAGATATGCCCTAGATCCAATATCATATTTGATGATTTGAACATATTTTTGTGAACGTCATTTGATATAATATATATGGCATTTGATATTCTTATCATTATTATTAATAGCTTGATTAATATGATAAGGTCCTTGATTAAATTTTGAGATTTGTCATCGTGATAGAGATCATGATTATGAGAGCAAAGTCTCTTACAATTTAATCTGAATTTGTTCTTAATCGTAGGATTATTAATCTGGACATTAGTAATTCGGTTAGATCAATATTTATGTGATCGTCTTTATGGGATAAAGATTAGTTGATCTCATTAACTAAATCACATAGATATATGATGCATATAGAGATATGATCATTGAACCGACTCATTGGATAATTCCTAATGGTTAGAATTACCATAAATTGTCAATAGGATATTCTCTTGAAGAATGTGATGTAACAGTTTCCTTTGACCTGAGATCGTCATAGTAATTGACAAGTTATTTATTTTGCTTTGATACCAGACACCTATGGCCCTAGGGCGATAGTTGAAAGGATATTGGGTACGATTAAATACTTGTAGAATTAGTGATTGTTCAAGATGGAATCTGTCAACTCTTGGTAATGAGTTTAAGCTCCATGTTGTCATGAATTATAAACGACCAAACTAAGACCTTGGCCAGGGCAATTGAATGAAAGAAGAAATGAGTTTCTTAGGTCATTCAATGGTCGATTATATTTGACATGAACACATAGTTGGTCGCCTATTAGGATTTGACTGTTGAACCATATCCTAGGGTGATCAAGAGCTATAAGGACAGAAGGAATTACTACATTATTCTTCTACTGGTTCTTGAGAGTAAATTGTATACTTCATGCTATCCGGTCGTTAAGGAGTGTTGCTAGACGCCACCCTTGATTAGTATATTGATGTGATCAATTTGCTACCGGTTTAGTATTGAACCTATGGGGTCGCACACTAACGAGTGTTCTGATCTTTGCTAAAGGATTAATTATTTTGTTATTTGATAATTAAATTAGTCAAATAAATAAATTATTAGTCCAAATGAAATATTATTATACTCTTTGCTAGCACAGAGACTATAATTAATATTGTGAACGAATTGAAGTTTTCTATTTAGAATAGAAAATTAAAATATATCTCTTGGTTAAAATATATATGTGATATATATAATTACCATTTATTTTATATAAGAGATGTTATATAAAATATTAATAAAAGGCTTGTTAGTAATTCCAATTTGGAATTGGAATAGTTCACGTGCAATTTAATGCCAATTGGAATGGGATTAGTATTTTACTAATATGAAAGCAACAGATTCCAACTTTGAGTTGGAATAATATTCACGTGACCGTCTTTGGCAACTCAAATCCATTTGGAATGGGACTATATTTTCAGTAGGAAAATATTGTTAAAAAAGGCTCATAAGTTAAAACCAACTTTGAGTTGGATTAACTAGAAAGTCCACAAAAGGGACGTGTGGCTCTCATTATCGGGATTAGTAGTTTTCTATATAAAATTATAAAGTCCAATTTATGAGTTAGTCTTCACGATTTTTCTAGTTAACCTAAGGAAACAGTTTGGTGCTGGAGTATATATATACACACATCACCAAATAACGTGAGGTAGTTACAATTTCGGATGAACCGCAAGAAAACCACTTTATGAAAGCGAGAATACAATACAAAGCCAAGAGAGAAAATACAATTGCAAGAAAAGTGTTTCTTATTCTTTTACCTTTGAGTTGAGATTTTTGAGAAAAATTTCAACACAATATTTCGTTCAATTTGTTCGCGGGTTTCATTGATCAAAGAGTTGATAGCAAGGATCGGTCTCGGTGTGGATACGCATAGAGTCTTCGCACTATCGAAGAAATTTTGAAACGAAACTTTCTTCACCAGGTACGTCTTAGATCTGATCTATTGACATGTAAATAAATTTTAAACACTAAAAGATCTGCCTAGGATTGTTATTGTCTTCCGCTGCGTGTTACGAACACCTATATGCAATCCTACACAGATAACATTTGGGTTGAAAGAACACAAATATAATATCAATAGTTCGAGATGATTTGGTGTTAAAAGGTTGTTTTCCTTCCTTCTGCAAGGATATAAAATAATGTATGTTTGGGATCAGGCAAATAAATCTGAATACAATTGAAGGTTTGATTCAGGTTTTCTTATCTCATTGTACCTATATCGAGAAGCATGCATATTTCTTGTTTGGTTCAGGTTTGCATGCTATACAAGTTTGTAATCTCATAACTACTTATGGAAAAACCTATAATCTAACAATTAGGAATATTGTACCTGCCCGTGACAATTAGGAAGGGAAAGGAAGGAACAATCGATGTTTTGAAGATACTGTGACGATCCGGTCGGTCGTCTTATGAGTTACCGGTCCGTTTTCCCCCATTTCTGCTTCTTATTATTTCGTTCATCCGTGTTTTGAGGTATCGGGTTGGTTGGATTGAATCCGGATTGGTTTGGGTGAAGTTGGAGACACTTAGTCTCTTTTAAGAAGGCTTAAGTTGGAAAAGTCAACCGGACGTTGACTTGTGGGTTAGAGGGCTCGGATGTGAGTTCTGATGGTCCGTTTAGCTTCGGGAGGTGATTTGTGACTTAGGAGCGTGATCGGAATGGGTTTTGGAGGTCCGGAGTAGAATTAGGCTTGAATTGGCGAAGTTGATATTTTGGCGATTTCCGGTTGATAGGCGAGATTTTGACCAAGGGGTCGGAATAGAATTCCGAGAGTTGCAGTAGCTTCGTTATGTCATTTGGGATGTGTGTGTAAAATTTCAGGTCATTTGGACGTGGTTTGGTTGGGTTTTTGATCAAAAGCGTATTTCGGAAGATTTTAGAAACTTAGGCTTGAATCCGATGTGTTTTGGGTGATTTGATGTTGTTTGAGGTATTTTGATGGTTGGAACAAGTTTGAATAAGGTTTTAGGATGTGTTGGTGCCTTTGGTTGAGGTCCCGGGGACCTCGGGTGAGTTTCGGGTGGTCAATCGGCTCATTTTGGAATTTAGGAAGTTGCAGATTTTTGTTCCAGCAGTTGCAAGTATTTTGTTCTTCGCGTTCGCGAGTGGAGCCTCGCGTTCGCGAAGGGTCAGGAGGGGAGGCATCAGATTTGTCCTTCGCGTTCGCGAAGGGGAGTGCGCATTCGCGAAGGGGTGGGTTTTGTAAGCTACGCGTTCGC